TCATGGAGTAGCATGCATACTTAATGCAAAATTTCTGGAAGGGGCCTTAGGACCTTAGAACTTCGAATGTGATTGGAGAAGGTGCTGATTTCCCATATCCTTTAGTGAGGTGTAGCGGCTCTGATGGGTTCCTTGGTAGTACTCTTCCTCCATTTCAGGAGTACTTAAATGTGGGGCGCCAATGTTCATGGCCTTCCAGATCTTGCAATTCCAAGAGGTAAAATGCCTATCTTGTTCTATTATGGTAGGATGTTATGATTCAATATTGATGAAGAGAGATGAGTGACTCTCATGGTTGGGGACAAGAATAACCTTTATTCATAACATAATTGATTGTTATTGACTGATCAAATTAATTACTATGGGGATATCAAGAGCCTTCCTTCATGTATTCATACTATCCACACTAAGTGAGACTGCATTAAATACTGTCCTGAGGATATAATTAAGAATACCCATGATTTTTTCCTGGCCTCAGGAAACAAAATAAGATAGTGTAATCAGCACTCTGACTTGATAATCATGAATGCCTGGAAATATTTTCCAACTTACATATGGTGAGAAAATTTGGTGGGGACAGTGGATAAATACATGCTTTCATCAAAAGAGTGACATTTGAGTAGATCAAACAGGGGTGGGGGGTTTTCCAGTTGGGGTGACACAGGAAACTAGTTATCTCACTTGTGATGTGGAGAAGGGCCATATGAACTTTTGTCACTGAGAGTCTCACCTAGGACCATTGTTAGTTAATGCAGTACTTTGGGCAAAGGGAATCATTGGCACTTTATCTAGGAGCCATGTATCTACAATGAGATCAATCACAACTAGGATCCAGTAAGGTAGAGAACCAAGAGATTTATGGAAATTCTTCACTGTGTATTGCAGAGGGGATATTCACAAGAGAGTTAAGAATATGAGAAGAATTCATACATTCAAGAAATGTGTATTAAAGTTAACATGAGCTTGTTATTCTTGCCAGATAGCAAAGAAGTGAGCATGTTTTTAATAGCTATTAAAATTATTTTTGAAAGCTAAAATATAAAGTGGGATCTATGAACAAGAAAAAAATTAACAAGTGAAAACCTGGTTTGAAGTTCATGGCCATGAGCTTTTTTATTTCCAACACCTTGATGCTATTCATTCCATCCCCTTCCCAAGGACTAAGAAGTCTCACTGTTTATCTTCTTACATGTTACAAATCAATTTACTAGGCTCTCTGTTACAATAATTCAGGCTGTCACTATCTACCTCATTAAAACATTTAAAAAAATCTACTTCCTGTAGATGATAATTATGGTCTAGTCCATGTGGAGACATATTGACTCAAGAAAATTAAGAAAAACAAACAAACAAACAAAGTAGACATTGAACTCAGGACATTGTGTGTGCTAGGTAAGCACTCTACCACTCAGCTATACTCCCAGCCGGTAGAGAACTCTCATTTGGGTGACTGAATGAATAAATGCCTACATTCTCACAAAACCCTTATAGTAACCTTTAAAGTAAGCACAGAAGATTTTAAGCTTCTGTAGGCCTATTAATCACCTGTGCATTCAGTAGGTTATTTATTCTTTGAACATAAAAAGATAGACGAGAATATAAGTTGATAGGATGCTTGCCGATTATGTGTGAAGCCTTGGGTTCAGTTCCTAGCACCGTGAAAAGAAAACAAAACCAAGTAAAAACAGTCTTAATTACACTGTCTGAATGAGGTGTTACTTGGGAGGAGATCATTTATGAGAACCTTTTCTATTATTTTGCATAAGTTAGCCAATTTATACTTCTGAGTATTCATGAATAATATTTGTTAATTTATATATTATTTCTGAATATCTTCAGTTTAACTTCAGTTGTTGAAACATTAGAGTTTCTATAAAATATTAGTATTATAAAATCGTTCCTTCCTCCATTTCTCTCTTTAACTTTTTTTTAAAAGATTTATTTATTTATTATGTATACAGCATGTATGACTGCAGGCCAGAAGAGGGCACCAGATCTCATTACAGGTGGTTGTGAGCCACCATGTTATTGTTGGGAATTGAACTCAGGACCTCTGGAAGAGCAGCCAGTGCTCTTAACCTCTGAGCCATCTCTCCAGCCCCCTCTCTTTAACTTTTTATTTGCAAAAATTTTATTACATTTATCATGTGTGTGTGCATGTGTGTGTGTGTGTGTGTGTGTGTGTGTGTGTGTGTGTGTGTGTTTATACATGTACCACAGGACATGTGTAGAGGTCAGAAGACATCTTGAAGAGTCAATTCTCTCCTTTGAATAAGTGGGTCCTGGGGATGGACTTAGGTAGTCAGGTTTGGTAGCAAGCAAACACACGTACCTGTGGAGCCATCTTGGTGGCCCTTACTATTCATTCCCACTTAGGTGTATCATTTCAATTGTGCAGAAAATTTCTTTTCTGCTGGCCTGGAATCCATATGCCTGCCTCTCCTTCCAGGTGCTGGGATTAAAGGTGTGAAACACCATGCCCAGAAAAAGTGTCTTTCTTTTTAAAACAAAGTACATATATATGATACCAGATATATTAATAATATATGTATGTAAAAGTTAAAAGTTAAAATTTTCTTCTCCACTTAACTTTAAAAAATGATGTCCCCATCAATACACTCGTAGAACAGCTGACTTATATTGTGGAATTTTGATGCAAATGCTGATGTGATGTCCATCAGTGCTCCTGACATACAGCAGCAGTGTGTTCCAGTTGGTCTTGATTTAACAAAAGTAATCTGGTGGTTTTGCCTCTCCTGCACACAGCTTTACCTCATTTTTCTTAAAGTCTGAATACTTTCCCATTACACTGTGAATGGATACACTATAAGTTTTCACTTGAGGTGTAAATGCATGTCATCTGAACAATGCTCATTTTCCACTTTATAATTGTATTTGAATTTCATGTTGTAATTGTGGTCATAGTATATCCTTGCTTTTTTGGATTTGTATAACCACATCTTCAGGGACATTTCTATATTGAAGCTACTGGGGGATGTGTATTTTTTTTGATACACACAGCTAAAATAATCTTCAGGAGTGCTCTACATTAAATTCTTTACAAAAGTGTCTATAACAGATCCTTATATCACAGACACTTCATAGAACTCAGTATCATCAGCCTTTGAAAATCTTTGTTAAACTGATAACTAGTACTGCTCATCTGTTATACAACAAATTTAATGAAGAGACAGAATTTTCTTTTCATATTTTATGTGACTTAATTATCTAAATACATTATCATATTCATATCCATTATACCCAAGTTTCCTTTGGCTCAAGGGGCTTTACCTTTGTAATCTGTAATATTAATAGAATTATGTATCATCATTTGAAGTTAACTTTAGTTACTGTACTTTTGTCACAAAGTCTGTTGTCTCCTTTTTTTTTTTTTTGTATAACAGCTGATCCTTCCCATTCCTTTTCTCTCCATGTAGCCAGACTGTCCTCAAATTGGTGATCCTCCTGCCTCAGTCTTCCAAGGGCTGGGATTATAGTATGCATTACCACGTCTAGGTTTTCCAAGTTTTCTACTTTTTTCTATAGACATCACCTAGGGGTACATTTGCTAGACGTGAGACATGTGGGGAATGCAGTTTAATGCCTTGGAATATCTAACAGGAATCCTTGCACCTTCATCTAAACTCTTCTGAAGCCCCTTCGTAGATCAAAATATCCTGTATCTGGATCTTCTGATAATGGAGATGTTTCAGCATAAATGAAAATCACTTGTGGACACCAGTCTCCTTGTATCTTCCTTTCTGGGAGTAATTGGCTTCCAACCTTCTTCATTCTGCGGTTGGGAAAGAAAGATCTTAGCCCATACCTTTTCTCCAGAAAGAGTAAGCCCTACTTCCACAGACAGCCTTGACAGCTAAACTACGGGGAGGAAGCTGGGATATATTTTTAAAATACGTTTTTCCTTTTCTGAAAATAATTTCTGGATGTTTTCTAAACTTCTAATTGTAAAAGAAAAACATGCATTTACACTAGAAAACAGAGCTCTTGGCAAGAGTGGATGGTAAGTAGGATAGAACAATCCTATAGGGTTACATAGATACTCAGAGTGAACACTTGCAAGATTATAATCATTTAGAGATGAGTAGGCTTCTTGTGTGTGAGGGAGATATGATTGTATGAAGAGATGGGAATACTGATTATGTTGAACAGTCTTTGAGCTGGAAAACATCACAACAGGAATGGGGTGGGTCAATAGAAAGACCAATAATGTATTTGGATGAAGAAGGCAGGCAGAGAATACCTAATCCTCAAACCAAGGAGGGATAGCTGTATTTAAAATCAGAAACTTCAGAATGTTCACAACAGGGGCCCAGTTAATGTCATATCATTAGTGGAGATCACTTTGGTGCAGCTTGCACAAACAATAGATAAGGACAGAGTACTGTAGAATTCTAATACAGGAGAAAAAAATAGAAATAATTAAAAATGAGTGGGAGCAGAAGGGTTGTGTATCAGATCACAAAAGAGAAGAGTTTTAGAAGATAATCTTGCTGTTTCGATGAAGTCATACGAGGATGAGTCATTGAAAAAGTTAGGCAGGGACAAGAGTGCCATTGTGTAGTGTTGTCAGAAGCCTGAGTGTCTCTCACTGGGGTTTATGGTAAGAGGTGGCCTCTCTCTTCTTTCCTGGGACAAACCTGGCATAGTCACTTGTCAGACTCTGTCTTCTCTTGAATAGACTCCAGTCTAGGAATGTCTGAAGGGCAGAATAAGCTACTGATACTTGAAGTTTGATAGAGGAACATTCTGTCATAATTTTTTTTTTTTTTGCATTTGTGGGGATTGAACATAGGAAGTTACACATGCTAGGCAAGTGCTCTACCACTGAACAACGTACCTGGTTCATTCTTTGTTGTGGTAGTATTTCTTGCACCAATATTCCAAGGAAACTTTGCTGGGTTGCTATTAGTAGTCAGGATTGGATTCAGTCATAATATGACTTAAGTCTCTGGGAAAACATTTCAATGATGTATGTTAAATGGTTGAAAGTTTGGCAAAGGTTTATGAACAAAGAGAAGAGAAGAATGATACATTGATCATTTCTGAAAGGGAAAAGTATTGGGGAAGTTTGTGTGGATCACCGTAACTATCATACCATTTTTGTTTTCAGTTTGCGACAGTCATTTAACCCAAGCTGATAATGGCCACGTTCAACCTCAGCAGCTTCAATCCAGGCTTTTTCATCCTCCTGGGAATCCCAGGGCTGGAGCAGTTCCACATATGGATTGGGATTCCCTTCTTTATTATCTACCTTGTGGCCTTTGCCGGCAACAGCATCCTCCTCTACCTCATTTTTATGGAGCGCAGCCTGCACGAGCCCATGTTCTTTTTCCTCTCCATGCTGGCTGCTACAGATCTCATCCTATGTAATACATGTGTTCCCAAAACCTTCAGCATCTTTTGTCTGGGTCCTCAGCAGATCACGTTTCCTGGATGTCTTACTCAGATGTTTTTCCTCCACTTCAGCTTTGCCATGGATTCTGCTATCCTGCTGGCCATGGCATTTGATCGATATGTTGCTATCTGCTTCCCCCTAAGATACACCACCATCCTCACTCATCGGATTATCACTAAGATTGTGGTGGCAATTGTCAGCAGGAGCTTTTGTATCATCTTCCCATGTGTGTTCCTGTTAAAGCGATTGCCTTTCTGCCGAGCGCTCATCGTTCCCCACACATACTGTGAACACATAGGCATTGCTCGTCTGGCCTGTGCTGACATCTCCATCAATATCTGGTATGGCTTTGCGGTACCTATAATGACTATTATGTCAGACCTGATCCTCATTGGCATTTCCTACACTGTTATTCTTCGTGCTGTCTTTAACCTTCCCTCCCGGGATGCCCGCCACAAAGCCCTTAGCACATGTGGTTCCCATGTTTGTGTCATTCTTATATTCTACACACCAGCCATATTCTCTGTACTTGCCCACCGTTTTGGTCACAATATTCCCCACTCTTTTCACATACTGTTTGCTAACCTCTATGTAGCCGTCCCTCCAGCCATCAACCCAATCATCTACGGGGTAAAGACCAAGCAGATTCGGGACAAAATCAACCTCCTGTTCTTCCCCAAAGCAAACCCTTGATGTGGCACTGAGTGCTTGGGAAAGAAAAACAGGCAATGATATCAATTTGGGAGTGCTTCTTGTTTCTTAAAGCTGGAACACCCACAATACTTACTTAAATTTATATAAAGTTGTAGAAAGTCTACTCTAGATGATAGAATATATATATATATATATATATATATTTGGAGAAGCCAAGAAAGAATTGAAGACGACATCTTTGCATGACAAGATAGAGAAGAGGGAGATTTAGCTCTCATTTGTAAATAAGATTTCTAATCACCTCTTGGCCTTTGGGCTGAAATCAAGTGTAGTATCAAATAAGATTCCCAAGATGTGGGGGGCAGTATGTTGAATACGTGGAATGTAGATAGGTTATAACTATAAACAACTTGAAGCAGATTAGTTAAAAACATCACAACATTGTATATCTCTGTATATATATTTTCCAGATAAGAGCTGGAATCAGCAAATGATTACTCTCTTAAAACAATATTCTGTGATAATGAATACTCCAAGACAGTGGTTTTCTGAATTATAGTGGATAGCAGGGCTTGATAAAATTTAAACTTCAGATTCACTCTTATTCTAACGAACCTCTACAATTTGTAATGATTCCTTAGGTGATTCTGATACCCAGCACATCTTTGCCACACTTTCAGATAAAAAAGTTCCAGTCTTTTTTTTTTTTTTTTGACAAATTCTATAAAGTTGGTTCTTATGCTTTTCTGAGCTAAAGGTATCATTGTTCTTTATGCTCCACATAACTGCCACAGGACTAACATTAACAATTTATCCTAAACCTTCCCGCCCCTAAGCCTCACATTCAAATATATCATTAATCACCTCTACTTACTGTAGCTTCCACCCAGGCCTGAGCCTTTCTCCTGGAAGATGTTTTACTTCTGTACAGTACTGTTTTCTACAAAACAAAACAACAACCACAAAAATATACTGCTAACATGATTATTGGAGATTTTAGTATCTCTATAGATGATCCTTTAATTACTAAATGTGGCAGATTTTATTTCCCAAAACTAGTCACAACAATATCTTATGATGTCTTTACTTACTTGTACTATGAACTTCTTGTTGTTTTCATGGCAACATTTACAGTCTAATCACCTTGAATATAGGCCGAACTGCAGCATTCTTTGACAAATCATGTTCAGTAGAAGTGACTTTGGAGGCTTATAAAATTATATCATAAAAAAAAATCTTGGCAATTTCCATCTGGGTCTCTTTGTCTGTTTAATTGTTTGAGATTTTGTTGTTGCTGTTGTTTGAGACAGGGTTTCCCTGTGTAGTCTTTGTCCTTGCTGTCCTAGAACTCACTCTGCAGACCAGGCTGGCCTCTTACAGAGATCCACCTATCTTTGCCTCCTGATTGCTAGGATTAAAATGTGTGCCACCACCGCCTGCCTCCATGTGGGTTTCTCTCTTTTTAATAATTAATTAATTAACTAATTAATTAATTAATTTCATGTCCCAACCACAGCCTCTCCTCCCTCTTCTCCTCCCATTCACTCCTCCCATCTCACCTCTGTCCTCCCAATCCACCCCTCCTCTGTATTTGTTCATAAAGGGGCAGGCCTCCAACTGGGTCTCTTAATGAGCTTTATTTTACTAGATTCCCTTTGGACACTAGCTACTGTGACATATACATCCTAAGCAACATGTGAAGCCCTTTCTAAATGTTCTAGTGAATGGTCCCAATTTTGAATTTAATTGACAGCCAATAACAGCTGCAGTCTGTATTAGTGGCTCAATTTGGACATCAGTTCAGTTGAGACTCTAGCTAGCTATAGTAGTAATATGGAAGACAGAAATGTACTCAATTCACTGGTGCATTTGCCTAAAGAATATTGTAGTACTGAATGTACAATATTATTTTACCATGTGATAAGATTAAGAGATAAGATGAAAATGAACCGATTTCATTTCAAGCAGAATAAATGCAAAGATGTCATGACTAGCTAGGTTCAAATAAAACTTCCTCCCTCCCAGCAATTCCAAATGATAAAAGACTATACAAGCAAATATGGTCACAGGATATAGTATCATCTCTAGCAAAAGGCTGTAAGAATATTCTTCATTAAAAGCAGAGAAATATTAAGAGTGCATCTAATAAATCTTTTCATCTGGACAAAGAAACTTCTAAGGATCTTAACAGATATTTCCCTATAACATTATAACTGTTTGCCCAAACCCGACAGTAGACAATGTAAAAGTGTTTGTTAGGAATGATGCTTGTTTAATGGAGACAACCCTACAACACCCACAGAGAACCCAGAGTCTCTAGGAGAACTACTTAGGAACATAACATCATCCAGTGACTACCTAAAGGAGCACAGATAGGCATTGTCCAATGAACAGAAATCTTTGAGCTTACAATTTTCCCTACAGCAGAGGGAGAGCTTAAAAATATTTTCAGATATAACTACAGATCATTTATCATTTTAATGACATATGTAACTATGTATTGGGTAAATATTGTTATATATTTATTTTTTTAATCTATTGAACCAAATTAATGCGTCAATGTGTGCACTGGTGTGAGGTCACCCACTGGAGCATAGGCAATCTACCAGAGGCTACTCCTCCAAAGAAAAGTGACTCTTCCTCCCCTGGCAGCCATAAACTGCCAATGGTTCCTCATCGAGGGGTAGGCCTTGGTAGTCCCTCACCCATCCAACTGAAAGTTTAAACTGGTTTGATCTTTTGCAAGTTGTGTGAGTTCACATGTGCAACAGATATTTCATATCAAGAAGACAGAAGTATGATGTATAGATTCATTATTGCTAACTATATTTACGCCAATGAACCATAGAACCTCAAACCTACTCCTCTTCTTCTTTTTCATTTTTTTAGACAGGCTTTCCTGTGTAGCCTTGGCTGCCCTGGAACTCGCTCTGTAGACCAGCCTGGCCTTGAACTTACAGAGATCCACCTGCCTCTGTCTGCCAGCTGTTGGGATTAAAGGCACATACCACCACCACTTGGCTACATTTATTCTTATCCAATGGTAATGTAGCCTTTTCCAACTACTCTCCCATCCCCCCTTCTCCTTGCTCCAGTCTCTGGAACTATTCTACTCTCGACGTCTATACAGTTTGGATTTTTGCTAATTCCATACTGGGAATGGTTATGGGGAAGATACATATAATTACAACTGGAAGATTAATTCATTTAGTTTTTTTTCCAAGAATGGATAAAATATTTTGTGTCCCATACACTTAACTGCAGTATTACTTGTTACTGCTTCAAGATGTGTACCCTGACTCTTCCCTTTGTCTCTTGAATGATATTACTGATTTCTTGAAAAATGGAAGTGTCATTTTGTGATACACGAGGCAATGTTATAAGAAACTTCACAGCAAGCCAGGTGGTAATGGCACTCACCTTTTTTTTTTTTTAAATTTATATTTTATTTTAGCTATGAATAGGAACCACTAGTGTAGAAATCACACCCCAGATGCTGGGGTGAGAGGACCAAGGAAGAGGACCAGGGGAGGCCTGACCTGACCTCCTAGGGGTCCTTTCCCTTCTGAGGCCACAGCTGTTCTTAAGCTTTGATTTAGGTCAGCTCCCCACCCCAATCCCCCGCCCCCCGCCCTCTGTCACCCTTTGCTCTCTTTATGAATCTTAGCTGGTTTCACCATGGTTTATGGGGGCCCCTTACCCCACACATTTGCATGAAGGCTTCCTTGGGAGTAAGATGTGGGACCTCCCCTAGTCAGTTCTCACAGTGCTCTGGGCCCGAGTTCAGCTAGAGGCACCAAGTCCCATCACTCCGTTCCAGGAAACTTCATTTGCTGGGGAGTGGCACACACCTTTAATACCAGCACTTGAGGCAGAGGCAGGTGGATCTCTGAGTTCGAGGAGAGCCTGGTCTACAAGGCAAATTCAAGACAGCTACACAGAGAAGCACTGTCTCTCCCTAACCCCCCACCCCCACCCCAACACCCCGCCAAAGAAAGAAACTTCACAGCCTTCTCTTTAATGCATTTAAACATTTACATTTTGGATAATTTTTAGTCCATAACCACTGTGTTGTGAGACTATTAAGTCATATGCAGAAGCTGACAATTTTAGCCAGGTTTCAAGCTAACAGTCAGCATCTGCTGCATTAATTTTGATCAAGGTTGGTCCTGATTATAACTTCATCAAATATCTCAGTGTAGATACCCAAGAGGAAAATCAAAGTAAGAAATTTCCAACAGGTCTCAATGAGGCTATGTTAGAGATGGTAATAAACAGTTTTCAAAGCAGACATTTACCATTCTATTCATACAGATGATTGAGGCAGCTCAATCCTCAGAATTCTGACCTGACTTTCAAAGCTCAAACACCTGCACCCCTGCTACTTCAGCCCTTGGAAATGCCTTGGAGTTTGAATTTGTTTCATTATATGCAAATTATTCTTAATCTAACATTCAGGCATTTAATCCCTACCACATTATTTCTTACTTTCCAGAGCCTATTCTCAACACTCTTTGACCTCAATGATATCAATGATAAATTGATCTCACTGCCTTTTCACACTCACTCAATTTCCCCATTTCCTAATTATCCTTTTTGCCAACATTAATTTTATGGTCAATTCTTAGAATTCATCTTGAATATAAAAATTTTCTCCTTATTTACCCCTTTCTCTTTTTCCTCCTTTCCCGCTAAAACATACTTTTTAGGCTTTTAAAGCAGCACAGCAAACACAGCTCAGTCTAACTCTGCTCCCACATTGTGCCTGCAGCCACAAGCCCGTGGATTCTCTCTTCATTCTTGATGAACAATTTATTCTTTCCATGGGATTTTTATTCCCTGTCAGCACAAGCATTTGGTAGCTTTTGTCTTCCCTGGACACTCTTTTTTGACCTCAATTTTCTTCCAGATGTTGCCCTGATTCTGTACCTTCCCCAGAAGAGCATCTCCTTGAAACATTTGCTTACATCCACTCTTTCCCATTCTTCCCCCAACATTCTCCTTAACTAGCTCCCATCTACATTGCATTATTATTTATTGTCTTTTAGTGAAAGACAATAACC